TACAGATAAAACCATATTTGGACTGATATTTAAAGAAATATTCATTTTACCGACATCTGAGATTTGGACTTCATGGCTATGTGTCACATGCATAGTACACCAGCTAGCTATAGGCCAGGATGTCAGGCAAAACATCTGTGTATCATCCTCCTATGGAGTTCAGGGGGAGTCGGACTGGTTTTATTATTGAGCATTACAGACAAATTGTGGCCGTGTTTCCCATAAAAGTCCTTCATTTTATTTAAATAGTCTTATTTGTGCTCTAACAAATACCTAAACCCATTCTTAGAATCAATAATCTGTATGTGTCCAGCTAGCTTGTGGATGGTACTCGCCCCATCTGTTAGACTACTTCACTATAGCTATCAGCTTCATTGTTTATTCATCAACAGCAATCAACATATGAGATATGCATTTAATTACCATTCAAGCGTGACTTGTTTCCCTCCTAGAACTTTCCGACTTGACTTGCAGTGTACGCTACCACAACTTAAACAATAAAGGTGACCTTTCAATGTATTTTGTTCCATTTTGTCCTTAAAATTATCCAATTATGTCCGAAGCCAATTAGTCTGTTTTAATTGTTCATTAACAGTCGACCAATCTTCATACCATATGTATCTAACCATGTCAGATAAGGGGACAAAATAGAACTCCACTACCTGAATAAATATATACCTCTAAATTACAGGTGTGTATACCAAAGCATGCATGACCATGCTGTAATTACAGAAACAGACCATTGCTTTTCAACGAACTGTAATGGTAGCTGTGATCTCTCCCGCCCCTCACATACTGTTTACCAATCAGATGGTCGTGATCCCCCCGGCCCCTCACATACTGTTTACCAATCAGATGGTCGTGATCTGAGTCAGGCCCCTCACATACTGTTTACCAATCAGATGGTCGTGATCTGAGTCAGGCCCCTCACATACTGTTTACCAATCAGACGGTCGTGATCTCTCCCGCCCCTCACATACTGTTTACCAGTCAGATGGTCGTGATCTCTCCCGCCCCTCACATACTGTTTACCAGTCAGATGGTCGTGATCTCTCCCGCCCCTCACATACTGTTTACCAGTCAGATGGTCGTGATCTCTCCCGCCCCTCACATACTGTTTACCAATCAGATGGTCGTGTTCTCCCCCGTCCCTCACATACTGTTTACCAATCAGATGGTCGTGATCTCCCCCGTCCCTCACATACTGTTTACCAATCAGATGGTCGTGTTCTCCCCCGTCCCTCACATACTGTTTACCAATCAGATGGTCGTGTTCTCCCCCGCCCCTCACATACTGTTTACCAATCAGATGGTCGTGTTCTCCCCCGTCCCTCACATACTGTTTACCAATCAGATGGTCGTGATCTCTCCCGCCCCTCACATACTGTTTACCAATCAGATGGTCGTGTTCTCCCCCGTCCCTCACATACTGTTTACCAATCAGATGGTCGTGATCTCCCCCGTCCCTCACATACTGTTTACCAATCAGATGGTCGTGTTCTCCCCCGTCCCTCACATACTGTTTACCAATCAGATGGTCGTGTTCTCCCCCGCCCCTCACATACTGTTTACCAATCAGATGGTCGTGTTCTCCCCCGTCCCTCACATACTGTTTACCAATCAGATGGTCGTGATCTCTCCCGCCCCTCACATACTGTTTACCAATCAGATGGTCGTGTTCTCCCCCGTCCCTCACATACTGTTTACCAATCAGATGGTCGTGATCTCTCCCGCCCCTCACATACTGTTTACCAATCAGATGGTCGTGTTCTCCCCCGTCCCTCACATACTGTTTACCAATCAGATGGTCGTGATCTCTCCCGCCCCTCACATACTGTTTACCAATCAGATGGTCGTGTTCTCCCCCGTCCCTCACATACTGTTTACCAATCAGATGGTCGTGATCTCTCCCGCCCCTCACATACTGTTTACCAATCAGATGGTCGTGTTCTCCCCCGTCCCTCACATACTGTTTACCAATCAGATGGTCGTGTTCTCCCCCGCCCCTCACATACTGTTTACCAATCAGATGGTCGTGTTCTCCCCCGTCCCTCACATACTGTTTACCAATCAGATGGTCGTGATCTCTCCCGCCCCTCACATACTGTTTACCAATCAGATGGTCGTGTTCTCCCCCGTCCCTCACATACTGTTTACCAATCAGATGGTCGTGATCTCTCCCGCCCCTCACATACTGTTTACCAATCAGATGGTCGTGTTCTCCCCCGTCCCTCACATACTGTTTACCAATCAGATGGTCGTGATCTCTCCCGCCCCTCACATACTGTTTACCAATCAGATGGTCGTGTTCTCCCCCGTCCCTCACATACTGTTTACCAATCAGATGGTCGTGATCTCTCCCGCCCCTCACATACTGTTTACCAATCAGATGGTCGTGTTCTCCCCCGTCCCTCACATACTGTTTACCAATCAGATGGTCGTGTTCTCCCCCGCCCCTCACATACTGTTTACCAATCAGATGGTCGTGTTCTCCCCCGTCCCTCACATACTGTTTACCAATCAGATGGTCGTGATCTCTCCCGCCCCTCACATACTGTTTACCAATCAGATGGTCGTGTTCTCCCCCGTCCCTCACATACTGTTTACCAATCAGATGGTCGTGATCTCTCCCGCCCCTCACATACTGTTTACCAATCAGATGGTCGTGTTCTCCCCCGTCCCTCACATACTGTTTACCAATCAGATGGTCGTGATCTCTCCCGCCCCTCACATACTGTTTACCAATCAGATGGTCGTGTTCTCCCCCGTCCCTCACATACTGTTTACCAATCAGATGGTCGTGTTCTCCCCCGCCCCTCACATACTGTTTACCAATCAGATGGTCGTGTTCTCCCCCGTCCCTCACATACTGTTTACCAATCAGATGGTCGTGATCTCTCCCGCCCCTCACATACTGTTTACCAATCAGATGGTCGTGTTCTCCCCCGTCCCTCACATACTGTTTACCAATCAGATGGTCGTGATCTCTCCCGCCCCTCACATACTGTTTACCAATCAGATGGTCGTGTTCTCCCCCGTCCCTCACATACTGTTTACCAATCAGATGGTCGTGATCTCTCCCGCCCCTCACATACTGTTTACCAATCAGATGGTCGTGTTCTCCCCCGTCCCTCACATACTGTTTACCAATCAGATGGTCGTGATCTCTCCCGCCCCTCACATACTGTTTACCAATCAGATGGTCGTGTTCTCCCCCGTCCCTCACATACTGTTTACCAGTCAGATGGTCGTGTTCTCCCCCGTCCCTCACATACTGTTTACCAATCAGATGGTCGTGATCTCCCCCGTCCCTCACATACTGTTTACCAATCAGATGGTCGTGATCTCTCCCGCCCCTCACATACTGTTTACCAATCAGATGGTCGTGATCTCTCCCGCCCCTCACATACTGTTTACCAATCAGATGGTCGTGATCTCTCCCGCCCCTCACATACTGTTTACCAATCAGATGGTCGTGATCTCTCCCGCCCCTCACATACTGTTTACCAATCAGATGGTCGTGATCTCTCCCGCCCCTCACATACTGTTTACCAATCAGATGGTCGTGATCTCTCCCGCCCCTCACATACTGTTTACCAATCAGATGGTCGTGATCTCTCCCGCCCCTCACATACTGTTTACCAATCAGATGGTCGTGATCTCTCCCGCCCCTCACATACTGTTTACCAATCAGATGGTCGTGATCTCTCCCGCCCCTCACATACTGTTTACCAATCAGATGGTCGTGATCTCTCCCGCCCCTCACATACTGTTTACCAATCAGATGGTCGTGATCTCTCCCGTCCCTCACATACTGTTTACCAATCAGATGGTCGTGATCTCTCCCGTCCCTCACATACTGTTTACCAATCAGATGGTCGTGATCTCTCCCGTCCCTCACATACTGTTTACCAATCAGATGGTCGTGATCTCTCCCGCCCCTCACATACTGTTTACCAATCAGATGGTCGTGATCTCTCCCGCCCCTCACATACTGTTTACCAATCAGATGGTCGTGATCTCTCCTGCCCCTCACATACTGTTTACCAATCAGATGGTCGTGATCTCTCCTGCCCCTCACATACTGTTTACCAATCAGATTGTCGTGATCTCTCACGCCCCTCACATACTGTTTACCAATCAGATTGTCGTGATCTCTCCCGCCCCTCACATACTGTTTACCAATCAGATGGTCGTGATCTCTGAGTCAGGCCCCTCACATACTGTTTACCAGTCAGATGGTCTTGATCTCATCTGCCTCAGGAATAGTATAGAATTTTTGACCATCAAGGCAAGCAAAACTGCCAATCTGCCTATAATTACCTTGTTATCCAAACTAACAGCTAATCTGCTGATCATAGGGTAGCAATATGCCTAACTTAGTTCACATAATTGCTAACTCTACAGATATTGCAGTGGATTTGCTAAACTATTGCAATTTTCTAAGATATGCTGATTTTATCTGAAAGAACAGCTCAAAATATGCCATTTAAAAGAATTATTTCCCCCTAGGATGGATAAACACACATTTTATTTATGCTTTTATTTCTGCATGGGCACGCACAATCTGCCCCATGGAAATTTGAAAAAGTTTGCAAGTCAGAGTTCAGTAACACCTATATATGCCTTACCATGTTATAACTAAACCNTGGGTTAAAGTGCTGTGATGCAGTACATCACAACTAATGAAGTTATAATTCAGCTACAGTTGCTATCCAAAAAGTTGTCAATAATTGATCCAGAAAAAAAAGAGAGAATCAAAATTGTTTTACAATATATGTGGTAAACGGCCTCTGAAATGTACGAGAGCTGAAACTTAAATTACAGAGGTACCAGTAGTTGTTTTACCCACATCAGGACAGTGTGCCGTATCACTGCTTATAATGCTTGGATTGCAAATACAAGTGCATAGTATATGCATGCTTCAATTTCAATTAAAAGACAAGTACAAACAAATAATTTGTCAATGATGAGATGAAAGTTAAGATTATTTAACTTACCTGTTAATTAAATAGGTGCACAGGTTATTCTTAATCCTTGGAAACGAAATAAACTAAATCACAGATGAAGCATCCTAGATAGATATACAGAGGAGAAGGTCAGAACAAACAAGATCTAAGACGTGTGTTACACACACTCTCAACCATTCCTCCGATTTCCAACACTCAGGAATTTATACAGCAATAGGATGACTCAAGCACCCAGTACACACAGCACTGGCGTAAGGGTGAGATACAGACTGGGGTTTGTTGTAAATTAGCCAAATATAGATAGTGCTACTATGCCTGTACATGAAGCGTGTGTGTGTGCATGGTGAGAAAGTACACAGGGGTTACACATAAATTGCATTCAAAGGGTAAACAGGGCAAGAGCAAGATTTCAAGAATTCACAAACCCCAAATTTAAAATTTGCTTGTCAAACACTTTTAACGTCAATATTTCGAAAAAGTTTTTTTTTTAATGTGCTAGTCAATTTTTGTATAAACATGATTTAAGAGGTCAGATACACTTTAGCATAAAGACGTGCTTTAACTCATTCACCCCTGAAATTTCATAATGAACTATTCCAACCTCTGAATTGGAAGAGTTCAAACGTGTCTTCAGAGGTGAATGAGTTTAGAAGTGGATCAGGGCCCATGGAGATACAGTGGAAAATATATATATACCATAGAGACCAATATTTTTGATCAAAATTGATTGCTTTCTGGATTAGACAAGTACATGTTAAACAGAAATCACACAGTATGATATACCTTGTTGAATGTCTTCTTTGGACAAATTTCTGCCGGTGTAGCTGCAGATGAAGGTCTTGTTTTTTCAGGTATTCTGATTTTACAGGGATCAGTTTAGACAGGTTTTGTAATACACAGGTATATTTTTCAAACAAATGTATACACCAAGACCTACAGATGTAGTTGAATGTCTTGTTTACATTAGGTTTTAGAATTTAAAGTGATCAGCTATTCAGGTTTCACAATGCACTAAACTGGGTTTAAATTAAGACGGTTTGGTAAAATTTCATACACCAAAACTTGAAACAGATTTCTATACAATCTATCTGGTCTTAATGCTTATTTTTTGAGACTGGACAGATCTACCTCCAGCAAACACTTGAATACTGTTTCACCTAAACACTATGGACAGAGAGTACGAGAAAAGATAATGTTTATCTTACTAATTTAAAAGCAATAGTACTGTTAATGTACTGACAAATACTGTCAGATTAGACCTCAGTTCATGTTCAGTACTAGGATTACCTGAAGTGAAAACTTCGAAGACCTATATTTTTTTAACACCTGTATTTTGCAGGACAAACATTGAAGCTAACATCCAAAACACTTTACTCTCTTCCTTTGTGCATTGTTTACACTTTTCATCTTTTTTTTTCAGATTTTCATTTCTTCCTTGAAAATGCCAATTGTAGGGTCACACAAAAATATTTAGTGCATTTTTGGTTATAGTGGATAACATGTCTGATTTTCTAAATTTGGCCTAACACGTTACATACTGAAAATTTACGGGATTGCGTTATTCATGAATAATAGCTATAAACACAATTCATCTCCAGCACACATGCAGGCAAACACACATAGGGAGATATTAGCCAGGTGGCATAGGACTAGTAGTTAGCGCCTGATAAGGCAGCTCCTGCGAATTCCTCAAAAATTGTATATCCTTATTGTATTAATTGTATATCTATGTACTGTAAAGTGCTTTAGAGTGGCTTATGTTAGCTAGATAGGGTGCTATATCAAATGTTGTATATTATTATATAAATGTTACATATATTTTACTCACAAGGGGAGATAATTCAGTAAGGCTTTTGTTTGGTTTGGTTTTATTGTGTTTTACATCCTGTTAACAGATATGGTCATTTAAGGACGTGCCAGGTTCTGGTGGTGGAGGAAAGCTGGAGTACCTGGAGAAAAACCAACGACCTACGGCCAGTACCTGACAACTGCCCCATATAGGTTTCAAACCCGCGACCCTGTGGTGGATGGAGTGGTAGCAGAATGTTAGACCTGCAGGCCACCCCAGTTCAATAAGGGACCAGCAGTAGCCTCATATCTATCTATACAGAAGATTTCAATATTTCAGTACCAGAGACCAGTCCATCTTGTCTGGGACTTTCAAATGATATCCTCCACTTCAAGGTACTTATTCAGAGAGGTAGCTCAACTCGGCCATGTAATTACCTGGCTACATGTGTGGTAACTCTGTATGCATGCTGACAACACAATGATGAGTTGTACAGACATTCGCCATACTTTATTCAACTCATTCCCCCCCTGAAGACACATTTGAACTCTTCCAGTTCAAAGGTTGGAATAGTTCATTATGAACTTTCAGGGGTGAATGAGTTAAAGCTGAATTATTCCTAGCGCTCTCCTATATGCAATTTATATCTTCTAAAGTCACTGCATATTTCCTTATAAAATTTTGGGTCAAAAAAAGGTAAGGAAATATTTCAAAAGAATGAATGTTAGTTAAGGGTGGTACTTTTATAGGTTTACTTTGGTAAAAAATAATAGTTCAAGTACAAGAGCTTGAGAATTTTGACACAACAATGTCAATTTCAGATACTGTCATTTCTGTGGAGAAATTGACGTGTTATGTAAATTACTTATGTAAAACCGATTGCCTCTAGCCTTATAAGCTACATGTACTCTAGTACTTCACTCTGCTGACATTTAAAGGGAATATGTTTTTTGATGTAATCTCACCTTTCTCTCATTTTCCGGTAATTACTTGCTAATAACATTTTAAGGCTTTCAACAATGTAACACAAAAACTAGAAATTTAACAAGCTTTATGTGTAAAAGTGGAGCCTGGATACTCCGACCATGTTTGTGACAAGTAAAAGTAATATAGATTTTATCAAATGCCAATTGCGATCACTGACCAAATTAGCTTTTTTTTGCAGTTAAGAAAAAGGGGGCATATGATTTACAAAAGAGAATTAATGAAAAGAACAATTCTTATATCAACTGGAGTTTTTGGTGACACGCCCTTACACAAACAGACCCACATCCCAGGCCTGTCAACAACATGAAGAGGAGATTTCCTGTGGTGATTTGACCGATGATCATGTGTGGCAGCCCTAAATCATAACTGACAAAGTTAGTGCATGGGCCCACGATCACACTGTCAACCAATACAGGACCTCGTCATAGCATTTAATCTCCCACTAAAGTTTGCATTTATCTGACAGTTCAAACAGACCGGCTAATCTGTACATGCCTCAATAAGGCACATTAACTTCCAATATGACAACAGTAGTAGGGGTTCTATACAAGCTTACCTCATCATTTTGGTCATAAAAACTCCGGTTATAGCTATTCTGCAGTGTCTTGTAATAAAATATTTGCACTATTACCTTAAAGATAGAAGTTGTGACGGAATAAATATATATCGTTTTCATTGACAAGATCCATGATTTCAGACCTGGCAAGAGTTGCTACAGTCAACTATGCCCTATAGGTCTATAACATTACATGTACAAGAAGTGCTACATATCTAAATGTACTTTCGCACTGCAATAGTTTAAAAGATTTTAATCCAGGATCAAAGAACCGTACTGAAAAATAATTTGAGAGGTGACTTAATATTTGACACCATTTTTAGTCGCTTACAAGGTGAATATACCAATGATACAGTGAAATCTGTCTACACTGACATTAACTCATTCACCCCTGAAGACACATTTGAAAACATTTTATTGAAATAGTTTACATATTTGTCAATCATCATCAAAAGGAATGACTTGTACATTGAAGAGAAGTAGAGGTACGTTTCAAAATTTCGAAAATGAAAAAGACTGCAAGTTCAGCAGAAGATTCTCCACAATGCATTATGACTACACTGTTTATCCTGGAACCTATCCAGATATTATTGTGGGATAATAATCACTGGGGAGAAACTGTAACACTTTGTGAGGTAATAATCACTGGGGGAAACTAACACTTTGTGAGGTAATAATCACTGGGGGGAAACTGTAACACTTTGTGAGGTAATAATCACTGGGGGAAAACTGTAGCACATTGTGAGGTAATAATCACTGGGGAGAAACTGTAGCACATTGTGAGGTTATAATCACTGGTGGGAAACTGTAACACTTTGTGAGGTAATAATCACTGGGGGGAAAATAACTAACACTTTGTGAGGTAATAATCACTGGGGGGAAACTGTAGCACATTGTGAGGTAATAATCACTGGAGGGAAACTGTAACACATTGTGAGGTAATAATCACTTTGGGGGGAAACTGTATCACATTGTGAGGTAATAATCACTGGGGGAAAACTGTAGCACACTGTGAGGTAATAATCACTGGAGGGAAACTGTAACACATTGTGAGGTAATAATCACTGGAGGAAAACTGTAGCACATTGTGAGGTAACAATCACTGGGAGAAACTGTAACACTTTGTGAGGTAATAATCACTGGGAGAAACTGTAACACTTTGTGAGGTAATAATCTCTGGGGGAAAACTGTAGCACATTGTGAGGTAATAATCACTGGAGGGAAACTGTAACACATTGTGAGGTAATAATCACTTTGGGGGGAAACTGTATCACATTGTGAGGTAATAATCACTGGGGGGAAACTAACTAACACTTTGTGAGGTAATAATCACTGGAGGGAAACTGTAACACATTGTGAGGTAATAATCACTTTGGGGGGAAACTGTATCACATTGTGAGGTAATAATCACTGGGGGGAAACTAACACTTTGAGAGGTAATATTCACTGGAGGGAAACTGTAACACATTGTGAGGTAATAATCACTTTGGGGGGAAACTGTATCACATTGTGAGGTAATAATCACTGGGGGGAAACTGTAACACATTGTGAGGTAATAATCACTGGGAGAAACTAACACTTTGTGAGGTAATAACACTAGGGAGAAACTGTAGCATATTGTGAGGTAATAATCACTGGGGAGAAACTGTAACACATTGTGAGGTAATAATCACTTTGGGGGGAAACTGTATCACATTGTGAGGTAATAATCACTGGGGGAAAACTGTAGCACTTTGTGAGGTAATAATCACTGGGGAGAAACTGTAGCACATTGTGAGGTAATAATCACTGGGGGGGGGGCTGTATCACATTGTGAGGTAATAATCACTGGGGGAAACTGTATCACATTGTGAGGTAATAATCACTGGGGGGAAACTGTAGCACATTGTGAGGTAATAATCACTGGGGGGAAACTGTAACACTTTGTCAGGTAATAATCACTG